GCAGCACATGCATTATCTTATAAAGGAAGAAGTTTACTCCAGATTTGCCCATGCTTCAATAATGAAAAGCAAGATGATCTCACAGTGACTGAAGTGTTTTGAGAAAGACGCCTGCTGTATTACAAAAATAGGCTGCTCCACAAAAGGAGAGGCATGATTTCACACTTACTTCATGACAGTCAAAGCCTTTGCAGTTAGCTGCCTTCTCTCTAGATATGTTACATTTTTAATGATCTGGGAAAATCATTATCCACGTCAACATCTCTCTCCAACTTTATACGAGAGAGAGAGAGAGAGAGAGAAAGAGAGAGAGAGAAGCAAAAAATGCAGTCTTTCATTAAGCATTATCTTCATTTAGGATCCCACTAGGTGACTAAGATATTGCAATGGGAAGTAATTGCCCTTTGCTGTGCAATTCAACAGATTAAATCGATAGAGAAACCACTCTTAAAATGATGGCATCATCTAAAAGCCACCCATTGTTAAGACAAGAGGGGGACTCATCCTCCCAACACCTGTCACAAATAATTTTAAAAGGAGAGTCCTACTTGCCACAATAAACGATTAAGTAATCCAACGCGTAAAACTAATAAATACACCTGAAATGCAGCAATGGGTTTTGATGTGCCAAATACGTACAGTTGCACACACCCACCAGAGTATTCTAACAGAAGTACCTCTCCGTATCTTTTTGGGAGAGGTGGCAGATTTCACTTCAAGGCAATCCACTGAATGCTAGAGCAAGCCGGGAAGCAAAAGCTGGCTTTAAGACGGAGGAACTTCACATGCTCCTTAACCTAGGATTCTTCTCCGCTTTGCTTCACTACAACGTAAAGGTGACCACCACCATTTCTACTATACTAGGAAAAGGGTAGGAAAGGGTAGGAAAAAAGACTCAGATGAAAGTATGAAGAGGAGTCCCCAAAGGAAGATCACAGAATTGGATGAAATCCCAAGAGCCATCCAGTTCAACCTCCTTTGACTATATAGGTACACACAATCAAATCACTCCTGACAGACAGACAGCCAGCCTGCCTCTGCTTAAAAACCTCCAGAGAAGGAGTCTCCACTATGCTCAGAGGCATAGTGGAGATGAGTACAAGAGAAGTGAGGATCATAAGAGCAGTTTTGTTCACATCCTAAGAGCAGCTGTCATGAGGCATTCAACCACCCAGGCTTTGAACCCAGACACACAAAGAAACCTACCTCTGCTAATTCTCCCACTGCTGTAATTTATTTTATTTCATTTTAAAATAAAAAAATAAAATCGACCAATTCATTTTATTTTTAAAATAAAATAAACCTCAGTGGTTCTAGCTCTGCCCACAAACTCCGCTCTTTCTTTATTCAAACTTGGATGCACCTCCACTGTAGTAGTATTCATGCAGTTTGACAGCATCTTCAATGCCAAGGCTCAATGCTATGGAATTCTGAGAGTTGTAGTTTTACGAGGTCATCAGCCTTCTCTGCCCAAGAGTGCTGGAAACCATACCTCCAGGAATTCCATACCATTGAGCCATGGCAATTGAAGTGAACTCAGAACGCAGCCCTGGACACACACACGTCAAAAGAAACCCACTGTCTGAACTCTCTCCCACCTCCCCACCCACCCCCAGCCTTGTTGAGAGGTGGGTAACAAATTTTAAAAAATTACTACTATATTTCTTCAATTCGAAGATGCACACCACCACCACCCCGTAAAAAGCTTTAAAATGGGGTACATCTTAGAAGAGGTGGGTTTCTTTGTGTGTGGGTCTGGGTTCACAGTCTGTGTGGCTGAATGTCTCATGCCAGGTATCCGTGTAAGCCCTCTAAGGTAAAGGCTTTCCCTTGAAATGAAGTCTAGCCGCATCCAACTCTGGGGGGTGGTGCTCATCTCCATTTCTATACCAGAGTTGGTGTTGTCCATAGACATCTCCTAGGTCATAGAGTGATGCATAGAGTGCCTTTACTGTCCCACTGGAGTGGTACCTATTGATCTGCTCACATTTGAACTGCTAGGTTGGCAAAAGCTGGGACTAAAACCGGGAGCTCACCCCACTGTGGATTTGAACCACCGACCTTTCAGTCAGTAAGTTCCACAGCTCATGGGTTTAACCTGCTGCACCACCACGGCCCCTTGCAAGCCCTCTAGTGTGGGTAGATATGTGTGTGTATATATGTGTGTATGTGTATATATACATATATCTTTTTTTCTCTTGGTGGTATTGAAATGAGCATGAACCTTATAACCGATGGCTTCTTAGAATCGAAGACATTTAGTATTTCTATTACGATTATTATTATTACCCTGGAAGACTATCCTACTTGAACAACGAGGGATCGCCTAAGTAAGTACGATTAGTACACTACTAGCTGCAACAGAAAGTAATATAAAATAATAAAATATTACCTTTACTATTGTTCTGACACTACTTGGTGCCAGATACAATAGATAATAAAACAATAAAATAATAAATCACATTATATTGAAGTAATAATAAAATATACATTAATATAATACAATATAAAAAGAAAATAAATGGTAGCATTTCCTGCCCTGCCCATAAAGTGCCCTTCCATACAGCCATATAACCCAGAATATCAAGGCAGAATATCTGCTTTGAAGTGGGGTATCTGAGGCCCCTTCCACACAGCTGAATAAAATCCCACATTATCTGGTTTGAAATGGGATATATAGCAGTGTGGACTCAGATAACCCAGTTCAAAGCAGATACTGTGGGATTTTCTCCCTTGATATTCTGGGTTATATGGCTGTGTGGAAGGGCCCTTAGTCCACACTGCCATATAGTCCAGTTCAATGTGGGATTTTATACAGCGGTGTGGAAGGGGCCATACTTTCCTCTTTCTTTCTCTCTGTCTCTGAACTTGTCTTGAGCTCACCTAAGCCTTTCCTGCCCCTTCCTTCCAAGGGAGGACTCAAGATTCTATGGCCAAACAGAGGGGGAAATTGGACTGAACCAAAGGTACAAAATGGGGGGGGGGGGAATGAAGACAGAAAGAAACAGAGGTGTGAAAAGGTCGGGGGTATTTTTAACCTGCGGTTAATCCTTCCATCTCTGTTTTTAATTCTTCTTCAAATTTCTCCCAAGTGGTTAAATGAAAAGAAAGCGACAACCCAAATCCCAAAGCTACTGCCCACCCCCACACCCCTCCAGTGATAGCCTTACTCTGTCCCTCCTTCTCCAGCCATCCTTGTCCCCTTTTAGTGTTGGGACGGAAGCTTTAATGCAATTAAAAAGGACCCACTCTACAGAAAGACACACTCACTCACTCTCACACACCCCTTTTTCGCTCCTCCCCCAAATACCAACCAAAGAAATATATATTTATATCTCACAACAATCTCAGTCCAAGCAGCCCACCTAGAGACTTCCTCCCACTCCCCTCCTTTGACACACAGGCAAAACATTATCAATAGTAGCAGTAGTGATGATGATGATAATAACAACAATAATAATAACAACAACAGTTTCTTCCTGTAGAGATGTTCAATGCATTATCAAAGGCTTTCATGGCTGGAATCACTGGGTTGCTGTAAGTGTTCCAGGCCATGTTCTAGAAGCATTCTCTCCTGACGTTTCACCTGCATCTATGGCAGGCATCCTCAGAGGTTGTGGGTTGCTGGAAACTAGGAAAATGGGGTTTACATATCTGTAGAGTGTCCATGATGGGAGAAAGAACTCTTGTCTGTTGAAGGTAGGTGTGGATGTTGCAATTGGCCACCTTAAAACACTGAAACAATTCGAGCCAGTTATCACCTCCCAACAAAGGATTCCCCCAGACAGAAAGTAGCCAGGCTTTGAAGCTGCAAGGCCATTCAATGCTAATCAAAGTTGCCAACTGCAACATTCACACTTGCCCCAAGCAGACAATCAGGGCCAGTTATCACCTTCCAACAAAGGATTCTCCCAGACAGGAAACAGCCAGGTTTTGAAGCTGCAAGGCCATTCAATGCTATTCAAGATTGCCAATTGCAACATTCACACTTGCCTCAAGCTGACAAGAGTTCTTTCTTCCACCCTGGACCTTCCACAAATATTTAAACCCAATTTTCCTAGTTTCCAACAGACCTCACAACGTCTGTGAATGCCTGCCAAAGATGCAGGCGAAACGTCAGGAGAGAATGCTTCTGGAACATGGCCATACAGCCGTAAAAACTCACAGCAACCCAATAATAAGAACGTTCTGAATAGCAACTGTTTCCCCAAACCTTTCTTCCAACTTCCATTCAAAAGTAGGAAAGGAGAAGAGGCTCACCTTTCTTTCCTTCCTTCCTTCCTTCCTTGCAACTTTCCAAAGAGAGGGGAGGGAAAAACGAGGCTCCTGGTGGTGGTTTGTTGTTGCTGAGGTCGGGAAATGAAAAATAAATTTGCATCTGAAGAAGACGCGCGTCACAAATATTTTAAAAAGATTTTTTTTTTAAAAAATGGCCAAAAATAAAATAAAAAATTGCAGAAGCTGTGTCCACGAAGCCAAGACTTAAAAAGAGGTGGGAAAAAGGGACAGTTTGAGAAATATATATATATATATTCTCAAATAAGGAGGGCTCGGGGAAAAGGAAGAGGAGATGGAAGCAGCAGCAGAAATAGAAAAAAGAGAGGAAGGGGAGAGGAGGGAGGGGGGTGATGAAAAGAAGCCACCCGCTGGTTGCTTGCTTGCTACGGGGGGGAAAAGGGGCTTGTCTGCTGCACAAGGCAAAAGCTGTTCTTGTTGTTGCTGCTGCTGCTGCTTTGCCTGCCTCGCGCTTCCCTCCTTCCTTCCTTCCTTCCTTCCTTCCTTCTTTCCTTCCTTCCTTCCCGGTCTCCGCGGCTCGCGCTCTCCTCCTCCTCCTCCTCCTTCTCCTTCTTCCCAATGGAACGCCGCCTACTCCCTTCAATCGCTACATTGTTGACATTCGAAGGCTGACATCATCCTCCTCCCGCCGCCGCCGCCACAACCGCGCGCGCGCACACTCACTCTCGCTCACACAAACACAGGCGCGCGCCTGCCTTACGTACGGACGTAGCAGAAGAAGAACAAGAAGAAGAGGGCAGCCTCTCTCTCTCTCTCTCTCGACGGCGATACTCCCACCCATTCACATTCACAACCACGCTGCGCAAACGGCGTAGCGCCCACGCCTCTCAGAATCGCGGCTCCTCCTACGCTGACGTTGCCGCCGTCACCGCCGCCGAAGGGGGCTTTTCTGACGCATGCGCAGAAGAAGGCGGCGCTCTCTCGCAATTCCACGCTGCTTCCCGCGCTTCTCCTTCTCTCTCTCTCTCTCTCTCTCTCCCACCCAACTTCTGCTTCTTATTTCGTTCGCGTGGTATACTGGGGATTGTAGTCTTGTTGCCATCCCGCCTGGAAGTTCTAAAGCAGTGGTTCCCAACCTTTTTTTTGACCAGGGACCACTCTCAAACATTAGTACCAAATGGGTTTGTTGTTCATTCGTTCAGTCTCTTCCGACTCTTCCTGACCTCATGCCAGCCTACGCCAGAGCTCCCTGTTGGCTGTGGCCACCCCCAGCTCCTTCAAGTCAAGCCAGTCACTTCAAGGATACCATCCATCCATCTTGCCTTTGGTCACCCCTCTTCCTTTTTCCTTCCCTTTCCCCAAGCATCATTGTCTTCTCTAAGCTTTCCTGTCTTCTCATGATGTGGCCAAAGTACTTTGCCTCTACTATCCTTCCCTCCAGTGAACAGTCAGGCTGTATTTCCTGGAGTATGGACTGGTTGGATCTTCTGGCGGTCCAAGGCAGTCTCAAAACTTTCCCCCAGCACCACAGTTCAAAAGCATCTCTCTTCCTTTGCTCAGCCTTCCCTATGGTCCAGCCCTTACATCCATAGGTGACTATGGGGAATACCATTGCTTTAACTATGCAGATCTTCATTGCCAGTGTGATGTCTCTACTCTTCACTATTTTATCCAGATTGGTCATTGCTCTCCTCCCAACAAGTAAGTTACGAATCAGTTTTTAGTCAATTGTTTGGCGTGCTGATCCAGAAAATTGCATTGGATTGACCACATTAGCTCTAGTTTTTGATACAGAACATATGCCATCCAGTAGTCGCCATCTGCTCACACACAGAAAAATATATTTAATAATGTACAGCTGATGTGGTAGTAATCTTTTGTGGGTAGTCAGCCTCTCCCCTCCTCACATCCCCATTGCCTTGGCACTATATGAGGGTTTCGTAAGACCAGTTGCTCTTGTTGCCATGTGGTTTTGAGGCAACGGTGTATTAATGGTAAGGCTGCGGACCATATTTTTGTTCTGGCGGCGAATTGTGTTGAATAGGCCACATCAGCTCTAGTTTCCGATGCAGGACATATACCATCCAGTAGTCGCCATCTGTTCACCCACAGAAAACCATATTTAATAAGCCTCAGCACAATAAGAGGGTTTCATGAAACCAGTCGCTCTCTTTGCAGCAGTGTAGTAATGGTGAGGCCGTGGACCGCATCAAGTCCTTTAAAGGGAGAGGAGGCATCCCATAACAGCCCCATTGCTATCCACTAAAATATGTTATTTTTTAAAGAAAGGTTTGCAAATTGCAAAATAGGTTTTTTTAAAAAAATCAGTAGCGACTTGAAAACATAGTGCAAGTCCCTTCTGGTGTGAGAGAATTGACCGTCTACAGAGATGTTGTCCAAGGGATGCCCAAATATGTTACTATCCTGCTGGGAGCTTCTCTCATATCCCTGCAAGCTAGAGCTGACAGACAGGAGCTCACCTCATCTCACAGATTCGGACTGGCAACCTTCAGGTCAGCAGTCCAGCCGACACAAGGGGTTAACCCATTACACCACCGTAGCTCAGCGAGGTAATGATAACTAATCAATCACTGATTCAAACCAAATGTCTAGAGGAGAATAATATGAAAAAAGCATGAATCGCACCACGGCAACGAGTGTTTTAGTTTTTACTAAACTTCTTAGTCTAGAATTACTATAACAACAATGTAAAAAATACACTATATAAGCTGTCTGTCCATGGGGATACATTCACAGACTGCATGGCTACGTGAAACTCCAGATGACAATGAACTATGTAACAAAATTTCAAAACTGTTCTGTTCTGATATTGATGTCAAGCCAGGATATTGATGTCAAGCCTTATTCGTTGAGGACTCATAGGACCATTATAGGGACAATCAAACCCATGGGACTCGAGGGTCCCTCTTTGTTTGTCTCAAGGTTGAGACATAGTAATCCATACATAAAACTATAACTCCTTTTGTTCCACTGGTCACTCAGCCCCCTGTCAGCCATTGGACAGCAGGAATCTGCATTGGAAGTGGGGAACACTCTCTGATTGGCTGCCTCTCCACATGGAAGGGAACCCCCCCAGCTGTTTGTGACGTCAAGGCTGGCTCCTCCAGTCAGTGCAAAGCCCGCCCCTGCTGGATGGGTGCATGAAAAACAAAAGACTGCACTATATAAAAATGCATGTTTTGTGCTTGCAAAGCAGGTCAGCTTCTTGGAGCGGTTTACCACTGGCTGTCATCCTTTCTGACCGGGTCAAATAACGAACCTCAGTGGCTTCTGCTTCAAGAGGTGAGACTTCTTTGATTGAGAACTTTGGGTTTTAGCTTTAAGCCTCGCCAGGCACGGACTCGGTTTTTGCATTCCGGATCTCATTATCTGCCTTAAATTGCTCAATAATAGTTTGAAAATGTTATTTCCTATTTAATTGTGTGGTCCTTACTTTTAAAGTAGTCATTATACTCCAGAAACTTCATTTTTGTGGCTGTCACAAACTATGTTGAATTGATCGAGACTCAATAAGATATTAATTGAAAAACTACAGCAAAATGTGCTGCAGGATGTCCCACAGAAACAAAGTTTTTGAAGTTTAATAATTATTTCCATGTTTTTATGATAGAACCTATTAGGAAATGACATTTATAACCCAGGGGCAAGAGTAGTGTGATATGGTGTTATTTTTCAATAGGACAAATGATGGAGGTATGGAGAAAAAGATGCATCTTGTATAGACAATCCTAAGTGACTAAGGCCTCTTCTACATTGCCATATAATCCAGACTATCAAAGCAGATAATTCACATTATCTTCTTTGAACCGAATTATATATGTTATGCTGCCAGATAATCCAGTTCAAAGCAGATAATCTGGATTTTACATGGCAGTGTAGAAGGGGCCTCAGTGAAACTATATCAGTTCCACACATACAACTAAAAATCCTGTGCACTGAAATCAATGGGAGCAATGACTGATCCAAAATTGCCGCTAAATTCTTATTCTATAAAGCAAGGAGAGCTTAGAAAGCCTTGCTTACAATTGTTTTATTTGTCAAAAGATTCTAAATCAATTTGGGAATTTTCAAAAAGTCAATGATATGGCAGCATCAACTCAGGGCCCTTCCACACAGCCCTATATCCCAGAATATCAAGGCGGAAAATCCCACAATATCTGCTTTGAACTGGGTTATCTGAGTCCACACTCAGATAATGTGGGATTTTCCACCTTGATATTCTGGGATATAGGGCTGTGTAGAAGGATCCCCAGATAGGCAGAATCCTTTCCTCTTGGGAAAAGAGGCTTTCTACTCAAATGAGACTGTATGGTTTCAAACTGCATAATTTGGCACTGTAGTTGGGACCACCATTTTTGGTGTATGTGTATGTATGGGATCATTTCCTTTACAATCTGCCCTATGAAATAACACAGTGCCTGGCCTCGGCATTCCCTTCCCTCCCTGTCTGGTCATCATTGCAAGGGACACAATTGCAAATGACACATTCACAACAACAGTTATGTCCTGCTGCAGGGGTTAAATTGGCTTAGCCGTGATTTAGGAAACTAATACCACCAATTAAGTAGGTTTGAATCAGTCACTTCTTACCTTGTAAATACAATGTAGCTTTGATAGATAATTTTGAGAAGTAGGGTTTTCTGTTTTTTAATGCCCTGTTGTGAAAGATTTTTGGAAGAAAATACATGTTATTCCCTTTAAACTAAATGTGTTTTGAGAATCCCTTATCCAACATACTTGAAGCCAGAAGTATATTGTTAGAGTGCTGGACTAGGACCTAGAAGACCAAGAATTTTACCTCTGCCACAGAAGCACGAATTGCGCGCACACTCAGCCTTAGAAGAAGGAAATGGCAAGTAAACCTCCTCTGAATAAATATGGTTAAGAAAACCCAACATAGGATCTCTGTAAATTGGCTTTGACTTGGAGGCATACAATAACAACAGAATATCAAGCATAGGATCATATCTAAAACATTTATTTGGTTCCAGACTACTGAACTTTTGAAAATTTGGAAGGAACAAAGTTCTTCATCTTATAAAACTGCAATTCCATTTAATGTCAAGGCCCCCCTCATCCCTCAAGTTGTATTTATCATTACTAATTTTATTCATCTACATCTTGCATTTTCTCCAGTAAGAAGAAACAAGTCAGCTTACAATTTATTTATTTATTTTGTGTCAAAAGCATTGCATATGTTAGTATAAAACTGATAAAAATAGAAGGAGCACAAGTGGCTAAATATCTTTTGACCAAAAGTGGGCAGCAGCGACCACATTGTCTGTAACTTCCAAAAACTCTTCCTCTGTACATGAGGCAGGGCATTGTGGACACGCTTATAGATGCAGAGTTGTCTGTTCTGCTCCGCAGTCGCACAAGGTGGAGGATTCTTTTAGGGAGTGCCACTTTGCCCATTCTTGGTTTGCCCCTGGAGGAAGACCCTTATGGTAGTGGTGGTGGGCATCCAGTTGGGATTTCCTGCCTTAGCTGCCCAGAGGGAGACTCTTGCTGTTGCTGGGGGAACATTAAGAGAAGTGGTGGTTCTCATGAAGCTTTCCCTTGATTTGAGTCTACTGAGGGTGCATCCAGACAGCCCTTTAGTCCTAAAAGTGTGTGCTTTCTGGGGCGGGTGTCCTGGTGCACTCCTGGAACCTTCCAGGAAAACACCTGGACACCCAACCCCCATGCCCAACCTCCCCTTTAAAAATAAAAGAAATTAACCGGCCTCCATTAGCATGGTGCTGGAGCTCTCCTGGTGTGTAGGAATGACGTGGCAGGAGAAAGCAATTTTCTTCCTCCCCTCCCCTTGTCCTGGCATGTCACTCCTATATACCAGGAGAGCTCTGGTACCACAATAATGGAGGCCAGGTATGTTCTTTAAAGAAGGTTTGGGGGTGGGTGGGGAGCTTTCTGGACTAATTTAGCCCAGAAAACTGCAGAACGACTGTCTGGACTGCCCCTCAAAAGCCTTGAATTTTTGAGGGAGCAGTCCAGACAGCGGAAGTAACTAACAATTAAATTTGAGACAAATCAGGGCTTTCCTGATTTGTGGCAAATGAATTCGTGTTTCTCTGGGACTTTATCTGAAGCCCCCCTTTTAATTGCAAGTCTTCCCACATTAACGGGGCTGTCTGGATGCACCCCGTGTGGAGGCTGATAGCCATGCAGTGGATGGCTTTCACAGTATTCAACCTTATTTCTCTCACAGTTGGCAGTAATGTCCCATCACACATGGGGGAGGGGGGCAGTGCCAGCTAGCTTGTAGTACGGATTAAAAGCTGTGTAAAAATATATGTTAAAAAGTATAAATATTAAGGTTATTATAAATATTAAACACTCTGTACAATTGAAACCATTGAAACTCATTGTAAGAAATAAAATTCCTACGAAAATTAAGATGGAACTTAAGTTTATTTCTAGTTAAATGAATACGTACCTAAATCTTCTCAAAAGACATTTACTTGCATTTAACATGGAAGTTAATCAGGAATATATGTTTATTCTTGTAGGTAGTGGAAATTATCTTTTAGAAGACATTTAAGGCTTGTTCAGATTTACAGCTGTATCAACTTAAGAGCAAAATATTCCAAGAAGGAGTTTTTAATTAGTTGACACCAACCAAATTTAAACATGAGTAAGCCTGCAATTGTAGACTGATTTATATTGTAGTCAGAGCCATCAAGCGCATTGGTCTTATTTCTGAGCAGACATGTATAGGGCTGCACTGCTAGGCACTCACAGAAAATCTTTTTCTAAAAGTCTCCATCCGGATATTAATTCCACACCACCTTTGTATTCACCTTTGTTCTTCCCATACTTTGACAGCAGAACAGACAATTTGCTGAGCGTATTATTGTGATAGCATGAAAGAGGAGTTTTTTTCTTTCTTTTTGGTTGTTGTTGTTCCAGTGATGAGTCATGCAGGATGTAGCAGATGGCATAAAAAGTGAAGCCACAAAGATATGAAAATATACTAATGAGGCTGAGGCAGAAGATTGGTGTAATGAGGCTGAGTGAGCGAAAGCCAATAAAAATGATGTAGGTCAATGGAAGGAGGAAATCCAGCAGGCGGAGTGCGGCTGGACTTGTGTGCTAGCATTTTCAGAGAAAGAGGATAACGGGGAAGGCAAGTAGAAATAAGAAGAAAAAGAATCACACACATGTACATAGCATGGCTGCAGAGAAAGGATTCTATGAAATGAGGCACTTGCACAATTAAAGAGCTGAAATATTTTGAGTTTTTTGCAGCCAAAAAAAACCCTGACAATAAGAAAACGAAATTGGTTAATAGCAGAAAAGACCTCAAATTCTCTGTATGCCCTACATATCTATAAACTGGGCAGTTCTGTTTCTCTTTTATGAGCTGTTCAACACCCTTTTACATATATGTAGCAGAATCCCTTAGAGCAGAGCTTTCCAAACTGTGTGTCGTGATACATTAATGTGCTGGTTGCAAATGTAATGAGAAATAACCAAAATATTGGAAATGAATGTTATTATCTAACAAATCATATATTCTTAAAATATAAATGAAATGTGTTGATAAGATATGTGTTTTCCTATACACTTCATTATTACAATGTATGTATGTGTTCATATCTCTTATAAGGAGTTGATTGAACTTCCAGTTTGCTAATAAAACCGAGTTACTGTGTCACGAAATGATGCATGTCTAAAACATGAAACATTTGGAAGCTGCCTGAGAATTTCAAATTAGCACAGTTACCATTTCAGATTAACATGCAACCTATCATTAGCAGTTTGCATTTATTTTCTTCGCTAGAAATTTAAGGACACTATTAGTTCCATGGGGAAAAAATAAGCAAATGTATGCATAGGATGGTGCAAAGCCTATTTCTTGTCCCTGATGTGGTCTGGGCACCATGGTTTTGAATCTCTTCTATCCCCAATTGCAATTCATTTTCTCTCTTCCATTAAGAAGTTATGGCTCCTTAGGAAAATTAGTTTTTGAACTTAAGTTACTAGAATCCCTAGGGATTTTGGGCGTTATAAAGAAGTAACTTATCAAAATTCTACTTTTCTTACATAGCTAGACAGGCAGTCCCCACGTTACGAATTAGATAGGTTCTGCAGGTTTGTTCTTAAGTTGAATTTGTATGTAAGTCAGAACAGCTTCATTTTTAAGTGTAACTCTAGATAGATAGATAGATAGATAGATAGATAGATAGATAGATAGATAGATAGATCGACAGAGCTTTGGATAGCATAGGAAATGGTTAACATCCTTGTGGCATTTGTTTTGCTGTCCATGCCCCTGTTCAGAAGATTTCATCTTACTTTCTGTCCCTGTGATAATTGGATTTTGAAAAAATCGGCTTGTTGTGGAAACACGGATTGGTGAGAAAGCTTCAGTGGAGGCACCTTTTCCTCACGATAACTCTTCCAGGAGTGAATTTTCCTCCCAAGGGGTAGATTTCTCTTACTTCCTGTTGTCTCACCCCCGTTCTTAACTATAGGTCATTTGTATGTCGGATGTTTGTAACTCAGGGACTGCCTGTACATCCATAATTGACGTAGCCAAATGAAGCTGCCACTGAAACATTTTCAGTGTGGAGAATAATAAACTCCCCAGTTATAATGAGTAGTTTGATTTGACAGTGGCAACACTGTGAGTATGAGATGCAACTCCCTGTGCTTTCTACCTCTGCAATTGGAAATAGCCTGTTGAGTTTCCTGCTTCCTCCCATACCACTAAAACATTTCTCCCTGAGTATCCCACTATGACAGAATGACTTAATCCTCTCCCCTTCTGTTACAGGGATTTCACTGGGCACGCTTAGTGCTGGTGAAAGGATCGGTGACCCTGCTTTCACACCCACAGAAAGAAAGCTTTCCACCCAGAAACGCTCTTTGAGATGAGCTTTTTCGTGGATTATTTACACACTGCATCCAGAAATGGCTTTCATGATTTCTATGTGAGTTTTATTTAAATTGCGGATAAGCTCCATATGAACAACAATATATACCAAATGGCAAAACTTGTGGAATGTTTGATTTTGGTTTCTTTTAATCACTTTAATAAGGGACACTGGTTGTATCTGTCAGTTTTCCCAGAAATATATCACATCACTGAAAGTTCACTGCCTTAAAAATATAATAAAATTATAAATACACAGAAATTGGAAATCTGTTCTTTAATTATTTCTCTTACAAGCCAGATTGAAAATGTAGGTGTTGGGGTGAAAAGTGGCAGCTGCCTTCAGTGACAAGCCATTTCCTACCCTGTGCCTCCAGTGTGTAAACCGTTCCTTCTGTTTGTTGGCATGTGGTCTAGAGTCGCTCTAATCTCTGCTAAGATGGATAGAAAAAATGTGTGAGGGTGGGCAGTGGATTGCCTCTCTCGGCAGTGCCCAGCGTTTGAAATGAAATGGCCTCAATATGAAGGGCTGTGAACATTTTTCTGTAAAGTAGTAGTAACAAGGTATATCTCAGATATCTCTTCAACCACTCTAGGGCCCTTTCACACAGCCCTATATCTCAGAATATCAAGACTGAAAATCCCACATTTTCTGCTTTGAACTGGAATATATGGCAGTGTGGACTCAGATAACCCAGTTCAAAACACATATTGTGGGTTTTCTGCCTTGATATTCTGGGATATAGGTAGTGCGGAAGGGCTCCTAGAAACTGAGAAGAGTTTCAGAAATGTGATATTGTCTAGTGTTTGCTTAGTGTTGTCTAGTGTTTGTCTAGTGTTGTCTAGTGTTGTCTAGTGTTTGCTTTTTCAAATCAGAAATTGCACTGCATTAGTACAAAACTAATGTGTGAAGCGCACTTCTTTAAATCATGAGTGGGGGAAGTGTGGCTCTTGGGATGGCCCTCAGGAATGTTTCATGGCTCTCAGCTTCCATTTTCCCCGCATGACCGCTAATACCCCAAAGCCCCTAATGGTGCAATGGGTTAAACCCTTGTGCTGACAGGACTGAAGACCCATAGGTCAGAGGTTTGAAACCGAGGAGAGAGTGGATGAGCTCCCTCTGTCAGCTCCAGCTCCCATGTGGGGACATGAGAAAAGCCTCCCACAAGGATGGTAAAACATCAAAACATCCAGCCGTCCCCCTGGGCAACGTCCTTGCAGACGGCCAATTCTCTCAAACCAGAAGTGACTTGCTGTTTCTCAAGTCACTTCTGACACAGACCCTCCCCCCACCCCCCGCTAATACCCGAAAGTTATTCTAGGATCCTTTTGTATAATGGAAAGAGATCTGGCAATCAAATGATCTTGAAGTTTAAATCAACACACTGATCTTTGGGACAACTCCCATAATTGTAGCGTTTGTCTCCATTTCATCCAAAAGCTACAAATAATGGTTGTACTCCTTTTGAGGATTTATGTATGCATAGTTATCCGATGCAGTTAATCTTGTCCCAAGCCGCCCCATTTCCATTTACCACAAAGCAGCTGCTGCGATCGAAGAGTATCCGTTCCTCTGTGACTTGGGAGGCCACTAACCGTCCCACGACTGATCTCTGATGCAACAAGAAGAAGCACAACCTTTGTTACAATTTCCCCTCACTCTGGAGATTGCTTGTGTGTGACTGTGACCATCAGTCGGATGTTTTCTGTTTGACAGTGGAACAGATGCCTCCTGATCGCAGCAACCGCTTCCCAGAAAGTGGAAACTGGAGTATTCTCACAGTCCCTAAAGTAAAAGTAAAGATTTCCCCTGACATTAAGTCTAGCCATGTCCGACTCTGGAGGTTGGTACTCATCTCTATTTCTAAGCCAAAGAGCCAGCGTTGTCCATAGATACCTCCAAGGTCATGTGGCCAGCATGACCGCATAGAGCACCATTACCTTTTGACAGAAGCTATACCTATTGATCTACTCAAATTTACATGTTTTTGAACTGCTGGGTTGGCAGAAGCTGGGGATAACAGTGGGAGCTCACGCTGCTCCCCAGATTTAAACCACAAACCTTTCGGTCAGCAACTTCAGAAGCTCAGCAGTTTAACCCCCTGCGTCACTAGGGGGTCCTCACAGTTCCTACATAGCCACTAAACTGGGGGATATCAAATACAAAACAGTCACTGGTGCATAAGTAATGCATTCATAATTACCAAACAGTGTTTTATGTGTGGTGGTGCTGGTAGACAGAGCTATTGTTGAATAGGGTGCATCTACTCTGTAGAATTAATGCAATGTCACACCAAGTTAACTGCCATGGCTCAATGCTATGGAATAATGGGAACTGTAGTTTTACAAGGTATTAGCCTTCTCTGCCAAAAAGTGCTGGTGCCTCACCAAACTACAATCCATGATTCCATGGCATTGAGCCATGGCAGCTAAAGAGGAGTCAAACTGCATCCGTTCTACTGTGTAGAAAAGGTGCACCCATGGTGAGAATGGGAGCAAACCTGTCACAATAGCTCTATTCTTCCAAAGTATTTCCCATATAAATCAGAAATCAACAAATTCCAAGAGTCTGTTTGTTTGTTTTTCTTTTTTCCCATGTCAGGAGTGACTTGATAAACTGCAAGTCACTTCTGGTGTGAGAGAGTTGGCTGTCTGCAAGGATGTTGCCCAGGGGACGTTTTGATGTTTTACTGTTCTGTGGGAGGCTTCTCCCATGCCCCTTCATGAGAAGCTGAAGCTGACAGATGGGAGCTCACCCTGCTCCCTGGATTTGAACCACCAACCTTTCAGTCATCAGTCCTGCCAGGACAAGGGCTTAATCCATTGCACCACCGGGGGCTCCATTAAATAATTAAATAATAAGTGTGGTAAAAACAGAATTAAAATACAGCAAATACATTAAAATGGCCTTTAAAGCTCATATCCCCCAATCCCTCCCACCCGCCCCAGAACCTCCCCTTCCCCAAAAGTCTCTTGGCAGATGAAGATTGTGATATTAGAGTATCTCTCTGTATAATGGACTTATTGGTAAAAAATGATTGCAAATATATTGTTTTGTCCTCCCTTCCTTTCCAGAATGTGTACAATGCCTGTCCAGACGGCATCCTTTAAAATGTGCAAGGCGTCCTGGGCATTTGCCTTATGGCAATTTTTATAAAAGTGATGACCAAGTGCAATTAGTACACCGTCATTATTCAGTGCGGTGTTGCTCAAAACTGATGGCAAGGTACCTTCCCCCTGACTCCACTGTCTGTAAATCTGATGCAGCATTGTTCTAAATATAATCCTGAGCAGCCCACTGCACTCTTTGCAAAGGGAGGCTTTGACATTTTATTGAGCCTGACGCAAAAGAAAAAGAAGAAAAGACACTCTTATAAAGGAAAAGGTACTCTTCAAACTGATCGCTCAATCTGTTTCTGATTTTTTAGTGTCAGAATTGATTGTTGAACTGAACATTTTGCCGAACAAAATCAATATCTTTTCTTTTTTTAAAGTTTAGAAATCAAAGAGATGACATGTCTCAATAAGAATACACTCCAACCATATTCATGTATTATATTCTGGTACAAACAAATCAAGTTATCTTTTCCTAAAAGGGTTGATTTTTTGTTTTGAGCACATCTTTCATTTTAGCTCTCTATAGGATAATAAAATTCCTTTAGGGCAAAGATGAGTACATCAAGGCAGCCATGTAGCAAGGCTGGCTTTGTTAGTACATGCCCTTTCGCCTTCATTTCTGATCCGATCTTGCCTTTAATTTGTTAGGAAATACGAGGAATTCGAAATCTTTTATTAGACCTACATCATCCGTATAAATACATCAAAACACAAAGCACTTTGGACATCAGGTGATTTCCCTGTACAAACCTGTAAATCAGAGAGAATGGAAATCATAGCTTGACGACAGTGACAACTTGTCTTCATTCATCTCTGCTTAGATTTAAAATGCTACTTCTGTCTTGTTAGGGGGAAATACAGAATCACAACAGTGGTAGGCAAATTTACTTACAATTAATGAAGAAGTTCCTGGAAATGAGAATAAAACATCCCCATAAAACCTGGTCAATAAAAGAGCAAGAAGAATGCAATGGCACCTGCCTATGAGATGCACCACCAAGGCAACTTCCTCTTTGTGTTATTGAACTATAGCTTCCACAGCCAGTGAAAAGAAATAGTGGGAGTTGTAGTTTAACAGCACAGGTTGTCCACCACTGATTTATCAGATGGACAAGCATGAATTATGTGGATTGAAATTTTCACAATTTGTGGGACTATAGTCGAACACTGGGGGGCCTTCCATACAGCCCTATATCCCAGAATATCAAGGCAGAAAATCCCACAATATCTGCTTTGAACTGGGTTATCTGAGTCCACAGGCAGATAATGTAGTATTTTCTGCCTTGATATTCTGGGATATAGGGCTGTGAGGAAGGACCCTGGGTTGCTGTGAGTTTTCCGGGCCATGTTCCAGAAGCATTCGCTCCTGATGTTTCACCCACATCTATAGCAGGCATCCTCTGTTGGAAACTGGGCAAGTGAGGTTTATATATCTGTGAAATGTCCAGGGTGGGAGAAAGAACTGCTTGAGGCAAGTGTGAATGTTGCAATTGGCCACCTTGATTAGCATTGAATAACCTTGCAGCCTGGGGGAACAATTACTTCATTTTTGGGAATGAACACACAGGCAAAAAGCATACAAATCTTGCTTTTTATACAAATCAGTCCTTTCATGTTATAACGACCACACACACAATTGCGTCTTACTTTTTCTATCACAACAAATCCTCTTAATCTGTATGCATTTGAGAAGGGTATGTTCTGCACTGTTGATTTAGACTGGAGCCTCCACTATTCAGATTTGGCTGAACAGAAATATTTTCACTTAGATTTTTCCCCATATTTAATGAAGCATTTTGATATGAAGTTGGACCTCTGTATCCACAGATTCAACCATCCACAGCTTGCAAATATTTTAAAAAATCCCCCAAAACAAAACTTGCATTTGCCATTTTATATAAGGGGCACCCTTTTATGTTACATCATGGTAAATAATGAAACTTGAGCTTCCACAGGAAGACCTGAACCAAATAGATACCAACACCCTACAGTATACTAAACAAGCACAATTATTTTTAAAGTACAGTAGAACTTTGGACACAATGTTGTATAACACTATTTATTGTTCCTAGATGCTTTAAAATACCTCTGGACTGAAAAAAACAAACACTAAAGGGGTGGGTGAGTGTGTGTAATGGG